CCAAGTTGCAGCTTGTTATGTATTTATGGCAAGCCCTTTCCGCACGGCTATCGTTGCCACGCGCGCGCCAATTTTTAGTTTCCCGTCCAGATGTAGGGCAAGGCGAGGTGTCCACGGGTGTACCAGTCAATGTATCCTGATTGCAAATCTTGGCACACCCTTCTGCAGTAACTGTGGGGTTGAAGTCTAAGTTGTCCTTATAGTCCTTTAGATCTGCAGACAAACGTTCAGTAAGTAGGACCATTGACTTAATAATAGCAAAAGTAGAAATTTGGAACTTTTAGCGAATTTCCCATATAGAGAATAAGCTATAATAGATCGGACGGCATGATGGGAACGGAGTTTTATGGGGGGTTTTTATGGGGTAATAATTTTTTTCTAATTTTTGACACTCAAAACGGAAAATTTTCAAAATTTTCACTAAAAGATTTTTAAAGAACTTAAAACACAAATCATTTAGTATATTGAAGTATCTTTTATGGTTATTAGTTACGGAAAATATTTAAAAAATGTAATTTTAAATTCCCATTTTATTTTTTATGGAGAATAAGTAAATTTTTGTAGTTTGTTTATGGATATATTTTTATCAAACCTGGAAAATTTATTTATTTTATTCTAAGCGTTTAATATATTGCTAAAAATATATTTTATTGCTATACCTTTAGCAAGAAACCTACTTGTATACTGTACTTGTTAAACCTAATCCATATATTAATCCCAAAGTACGCATGAGCTTTTGAGAAAACTACAAGTCACACCCCCATAAACCATTTACTTAATATGTTCGTCATGACGAGAAACCTTGCGCAAAACTATCCATTATTTCATAAATTGCCCTTTAAGGTCGTAATTCCTTTCTAAAGGGAACTTTCCATATACCTAATGTTAAAATACCTCAGATGTGCTAATTTGTTTGTACTGTATTCTGTTTTGTTTATTTAAGCTCCAATCAATAGTTCTGCTAATACCTTTGACTATTAATACAACATAGTCAATGTAAATACCTTTGCATCCAATAGTCAATGTTAATACTTATGAATTCAAACGGGGTGAAGACCGTGGGTAACAGCTAGTGTTATTTAAAAGGATTAAATTGAAAATCCAATCAGGTAAATGGAAAATCGCTTAGTCTGCAGGTTTACTGCGAAGGGAGAATATTTAATAAAACACGAAAGCAATTTTTAATTTTTTTAATGAATGTTACACCCAATTTCAGCTCATTGTGTTTCCTGAAGTGTTAATATTTTATATAAATGTATTCATTAATAAATAATCATGTTTACGAAAATGGTGAACGAGTAGCCTATTGTATCACATTACCATTTTTGTTTGCAAATCATCAGTTGTAAAAAAATCAAGTACAATTTTATGAATAAAGTTTTACACGGATGATAAGTAAATGTTCTGAGTTTATCTATGTAAACTGTGTTGGAGTAGAAGTAAACTTGTTGGTAGGCTTCTACGATCAAAGTAAACTTGATCAGAGGCCAGAGAGTGACCGCGTCGTTGACAAAGATATTCAGCGGCACTTTCGTTCACCGATCCATCTCGTGGCAAACTGCAACAATCCAACTATGCAGAACTAGTCCTTCTACTCTGTGGTTTTACGAATGATCTACCATGATTACTGTATTAAAGATAAGAACAGCCAAGTCAGGAAAATTCCGCCGTCTTGTTACCAGTTGCGTGAACGAGTTTACTTTCTCTGAAAGCGGTTTTGCTGCTCGCGGTAAAGTAAAAATGTTTATGATGAAAGTTCTCAAATAATAGCTCTAGATGTGAGTAGTTAGATTGTTAAGTTATAGTAGTGAAATCGAAGAATAATATGTACAGGGAAACATTGTACTATTAAGCCTTCGCAGATAGAGGCTGGGTGTGTTTTCATCAGTTAAAAAACCCCGCAACCAATTTAGGTATCCTGGCTTTTTGGGTGTAGGTTAAGTTGCGACAATTTTACCTGCACTAGTCCGGGTCACTTAGGTTGGACCATGTTGAGGATTTTATATAATACTAGCTGACCCGGCGAACTTCGTATCGCCTAAGTTATAGGTTTCCCCTAAGACAGACCGATGGAAAGAAAGTACCGTTACGTTTAATTTTCAAGATGATCTCGTTCGCATCGCTCAATCACGTCCTGGTTGAAGTTCGTTCGCTACGCTCACTCACCTTTGGGTTGGAGCTCGTTCGCTACGCTCACTCACCTTTAGGTTGGAGCTCGTTCGCTGCGCTCACTTGCCTTCAGGTTAGCTCGTTCGCTACGCTAACTCGCCTCCAGGTTGAAGTTCGTTCGCTACGCTCACTCACCTTTGGGTTGGAGCTCGTTCGCTACGCTCACTCACCTTTAGGTTGGAGCTCGTTCGCTGCGCTCACTTGCCTTCAGGTTAGCTCGTTCGCTACGCTAACTCGCTCCAGGTTGAAGTTCGTTCGCTACGCTCACTCACCTTTTGGTTGCAAATTAGCTGTTGTCATAAATGTAAAAGAAATAATAGTGCTGCACCCTGTTGGTAATCCTTGTAACTTTAATGCTATTGAACATCATAGAACAGAACCAACTTGTTTAATTGAAACAGCTGTTAAGATTCATTAATTCCATTTCTCATAAGGTTAACATGGGAAACTCCAGAGCCACTGGGGCGGAGCCCTTTTAAGAATTTCGAAACGGGAAATAGTTTACGTCCGATTCGCATACCTACAGAATTTACACACCAAATTTCATAACGATCGGTGAAGTCGTTCCGGAGGAGTTTGCAGACAAACACTGTGACACGAGAATTTTATATATTAGATAGAAGATAGATTGATTTGCTTGTGCTATATAATCAAATATATTTTTAATGTATCTTTTAATATCAGCTGCTTGTGATTATTATGTTGTTCTAATATGTTCACAGTTTGAAGTGTTCATGTTTTATTTGTCCTTTTTACATCAATTATTAATAAAGTATTTTATGTATTTTATTCCCTCGTTTCATCAGACCATAATACAGTACAGTTGTTCGATTGCACCAATACGGCTAAAGTGGATATTGTAAAGCGCATTGTGGCGTATAAAGCCTATAAACCGAAATAATCTTTTCATAGATGGATCTTCTGCAACCCATAAGGCCCATGTTAACTTTTTTAAATTTTAAATTAATTTGTTGTGCTTATTCTTTAGCGTTTTTAATTAATTAATGGGTTCTGCACATCTACAGTATCTTTCTTACAGTATGTGTAGATTTTCCCTGTGATGCACTCGAGCTGAGAAAAAAGGTTTTCAATAAACATGTTTGCCTATTAATATGTAGATAGCAAACATTTTATCATTTATATCACGTGCCCATGAACTTTTGAGAAAACTACAAGTCACACCCCCATAAACCATATACTTAAAATGTTTGTCATGACGAGAAACCCTTGCGCAAAACTATCCATTATTTCATAAATTGCCCTTTAAGGTCGTAATTCCTTTCTAAATGGAACTTTCCGTGTACCTAATATTAAAAATACCTCAGCCGTACTTAATTTTTTGTATTACTGTATTCTGTTATGTTTATTTCAGCTTAACTTAACCAATCAATGGTTTTATTAATACTTATGAATTTAAACGGGGTGAAGCCCGTGGATAACAGCTCGAATTAATGTTTTTTGTTAATTCCTGTTGACGCAGTGAATCGCTCGATTTGTTTATGAATAACAACATAGAACACTTCATTCCACCCGCCCCAACATAAAACAGTTAGAAAATAACTAGCCCGAATGCCACTTCTATTTTGACTATCGACTAAAGCGAGTTGATGGTACAAGCATGCTTTATAAAAATCTATTGAACTAAATGATAAAAAAGTTTTTAAATATTTACATATGATCAACTCAGCAAACGGCACCGCTCCACCAGAGTAAAATTGCAATATTGGTTATCAAATATCAAATTTCGTAATTAAATACTCATAATTAGGAAGTACCATTACGTGATACCCCCTCCAGGGCTTTTGTTAACCAGTGAACACATTGTACCGTGACGGTTTGCTCGCTATTTGCCACTACAGTAGGACAGTAGTGTCTTGATCGGCGACGGAGCGCACGCGGCCGTGGCGACGTAATCTAGTCGGCCGTTGCATTGTTGCCGTAATCAAGTTTAACATTGTGGAACTGTTTGTCATACTGTACTACTAGTTGCATATGTGGTTGTTTACTTGAACATATTTTAATTTGTTCGTGTTACAAGTAGTAAACATTGCAAATAGATTTTATATAACAGAGTGCTGTAAAACATTAAATCTATAGATTTTGTACTTCACTAACTAATTAGGTTACGAATCCACTTTTCAAAAGATGGTTCATTAATACTTTGGCCATGCACGTTATAGAGTTATAAGTTACTTAATGTGTTAGGTTGACAAAATCGTAAACTGGCGCACATTTTATAGTGATTGCTAAAATAATATCTCAAATAATATAATAGGCTACATGTAAATTAAATACGTTTTATGAAATAGAAAAAAATATGTTTTTTATTATCTCAAAGACTTTACATGTATGATCAAAATCTTGACTCTTTGGAATTCGCAATCTACCAGAAGCTGTATTTTTGTGTGGTCCAGAGGGAAGTAATGTCAATGACATCCGAAGAAGAGTGCCTTTTGTCCTTTTCTCGAGATATTGAAGAGTGCAACGAACAGTAGGCTAATATCTTTCACAAGTTTCATGATTTGACAAATTATTCACAACTCACAAACATTTTTCGGTCAAACTGTTCGCAGACATGTCAACTTAGCATATGTTGTATGACAACCCTTCTATGTGACAGTGAAAGAATCGCGTATGATAAAACTACAGTGTCGTGCCGTGATGTGTACCCCCACCCCCTTCTCCCCGAGTGAGAGAGAGCTCCCGTACCCACATACCCACACCCTAGCCAGTGGACATGCCACGGTGCCGGTGACAGTGTAGTGCCATACGTATAGTCCGGAATACACCATGTCGTCGTTCGTGTGGCCAGCCAACTACCACTGGGCAGCGGCACCCCCTCAGCCGCCGAGTGGGCTCAACTCGCCCGCCCTGGCCGCCCAGCCCTTGTACAACGCACCTACTAGACCGCCCCTGGAACATGGTCAGTACTTGAATATTTTGAGAAAATACCCCTTAGTTCACACATAACCGTGATAAGACTATGGTCTGGGTTTAAAGCAATAGTTAGTAAATAAGCGTGATTTTACCAACAACTTGGAGAGGTGAGCCGAATAATAGTACTACTATTTTTATTTTTTGTGTATCTTCTTTGTTTGGGGATGGGATATTTTAAATTGAATTTCTCTGACGCCAACAACACGCCAGGATGCTTAATTTATGGCGACAGGTGAAAGATTTGTATTGACAAAAATCAGCTTGTTCTTTAGCTAGAATCTAATTAAAATTCTACAAAGACAGCTTGGTTCAGTTTTGAACAATCAGAGGACCAACTAATTTTCCTCAGGATCCAATCGGCGACTTCTGATTTCCGTTAAGCATTTCATCCACTAAATTATCTGAGCATATTAGTTGTAGTATTAATAGTCAAAGATATTAGATGAAGAATGCAAGCTATATTACCTTAAAAATTACGTTCTTATAAATACGACCAGTATTGAATTTTTCAAATCTTGGTCGTGGGAGCTGGTTGTGCCGTTTTTTTCCTAGTGTCGAAGTTGTCAAAAAGTTCCACAAACACCCGCTAGGTAACTCTCTAAATGCTGAAAAATAGTGATTTGTGTAACTAGTGGGCGAAGTGGCACTTTGCTGTACACGAGATACCTAAATGTTGCGAGCCGTAGGCGAGTGTGGGAAGTTTCTCGAGTGCAGCAAAGGCAGTTTGCACTCGCGTTAGAGATTATATTTTTTCCTAAAGTTACTATAAAGCATATAAATAATTAGTCTTTCAAACACTGTACAACACGTTTTTAGGCTATATTGAACGAAATGGGAAACGCTGTACCAGCTGACCGTAGTCGTATTATATTTAAGTGTTGCCATATTATTTTCAAGCGTACACATATTACGTGCCTAATAAGAGCACGTGGTTTTGTGTTGTTTAAAAAAGAAACTGTGCGGTAAAAGTAAATAGTGTACGGCAAAAGTAATTAGATGCAGCAATTAGCAACTCTCTGTGATATAATCAGTGCATGGAAGGCCACTTTGTCAGGTGACTGTAGTAAAAATAACATGTAAGTCTAAATGTTAAAAATTCATCTTATATTTTAAGCATTTGTAGTCAGATGAGTTCTTATGTTACAATCCTACTGTTTAACCTCTATGCTTATTTAACTAATATTTAACCATATGATTTTATTTACTTTTCTATAATAATTGAATGAACGAAGTGAATTCTCATACTGGTGTGAAATGCATCTTTATGTTGATCGAAATCTCGAGAATGCCTAAAGTTATAAACTTGATGTGTTGCACAAAGATTCTATACCACTTTATCTTGCGACCATTAGTTGTTTAAAAATATTTATTCCGTAATTATTATAAAATCTTAAAAAAACATTTTTAATTTTGTCCCATAAGATTAACATTATGAGCTACCTTCTTCTTCTTTTTATTTGTTTACATTTTACGACCTACAATTTTGTCGTTTACTTGAGACAAAGAGAACGACTACTCTTTCATCCATAGAGTAACAGTCAAACCGTATTCACATTATAACTCTACAATTTCTAGGATAATAATGTATTTACGAAAATGTGGCAGGAGTTAACAAATTATCTACTAAAATGTATCGCAATTGATTGGAAAATAAATATTTACTTGTTTATTCTACAAGCTACGTTTCTTCAGTAGGCAATACTATATAATAAGTACGACGCGACGGTAAACGATGCCGTGGGTGAAAGTCTACTAACTTATTGTTTCCTAACTTGCTAAAAGTTAAGTGGAATCTTTGACTAATTAATATTAGATAAGATTTCACTATCTAATAATCAATGGTTTTAGTTATTTTCGTTCTGGTTGTTCTTAATTAAATTTCAGTAAGGCCTCGCATCGGTGGCTTTATCTATTCAGTCAGTCATTCAAATGTTGCCCCAAAATATTTAGATAAGTCACTGTACTTTCATATTACTGTATAATGATATAACATAAGTACTAAGACTTTTTTTTATCAAATAAGGTTTTTTTTTCATTTAATATATCTTTTTTTTATCAGTCGTCTCCGTCTGCAGTTCACTCGCTTAGAATCAGAAATGCTGCCTTGCCTTAAGTTAAGTTTAGTCTTAGAACATCCTCCTCAAGGTTTAGTGCATTATTTCTGCTATTGATAATAAGACGGCAACCTAAGTAGGTTTTAAAAGTTTGTGAATATAATCCTATGTATTTAAATTACGTAGGTAAGTAATGCAATCAAACTGCATTTTAGATTCAACTCAAACCTCATTCATTAAGTTAAGGTTAACCTAGAACAAGTAGACTCAGTTCTGACGAAGAGCGGATGAAACTTAGCCAATGGACACAAGACTAGGCAATAGGAAGGAGCTTTCCCGACTTTGGTCAGAATAAGTGATAAATTTTAGTGAGTTTAATATTGAACTCTCACTATGTGTCAACTGAGCTTATGGACCCTTCATCAAGTATTGAACACTAAATACTGTAGGTCAATAAGTGGGAACCTACTGCTTCAAAGAGCTAACTTAGCCCACTTATAATAATGCTGCTAAGGGCCCATAACAAAAGGACTACGCAGATAACCGAAAAGTGAAGATCAAGACGTACGGTACGAGCAGACATAAAATTGGGCTCACAGGTCTTCATTGATTGTACCAAAGGCAGTGGAAGAATGGTGAGACAGACAATCAGAATGCTGAGGTAGATAATCTTAACTTCAAAATATAGCCTAAACAGTATAAACTTTTGAAGGAAGGCGGTGAAGCGACGAAGTGCTGTGTCATGTAAAGTTGTTTTGTGTAAAGTGTGTCTGTTACATTAATTGCCTAGACGGCCGTGTTGCCTAGCCTAGGTATGGCCTGTCAAGTGTTTTGTTAAAAATCTGTGTCTAATGATGTCACAGTACTTATGTTTATTTGTTCATACAACATTCGTGTATAATGTGTTTTTCACCGTCAAAGAATGTAGGCCTACGGTAGAAAGTTTAAACTAAGAAAGGTAGGCCTTAATATAACCCTAACTTACCTAAATAGACCTAAAAAAGTAATGTATCATATCACTTTCTTTTAGCTACTATATCTGTGTCCTTATAGTAGGCCTACTTAGATTAAGTTACCCATCTTCAGGGGAACAGTTTCGCAGAGAACCTAGCCTACGTTAATTTATCAGATGAAATATTTTTGTTTAACTTAATATACCCTATTCGATAACTTATCGTAATCGGTTCACTTTTTGGCGATACAACTTACCGTACCTATTTATCATGTAGGCCAAGGCCTATTTCAACATTGAACAATTTATGCCTAAGATCTTTTTTTAAGGAGACTCTTTACACTGTGTAGCCTACTTTTTAGTTTATAATAGTCCTAATAACAAAGGTAACATTTCTAAAAATCAACATAAATCTTTTGTGTATGATTTGTTAAAGAGATAAATTTTTAAATAGCCTACATAAGTTAGGCTACGGTAAGTTAACTTTGATCTTTTTCATGAGTTTATAAAAAATTAGGCTATTTTTCTTACCTATGTTACCTACTGGGTAAGTTACAGTTCCGCAGAGAACCAACAATAACTTAATTATTTTTTCAAATGAATAACTACTTATCGGTTTGATTTTAACTTAACTTAATATCGTAGGCCTAGGCCTATTGAATTTAAGTTCATCATACATTTACCATATGATATAAATAAAAAAATAACGTTTAAAAAATCCCACTTCAAAGAGCCATAGGTACACCTACCGAGGTAACCAAACATTAAAGAAGTATTTTATTGTTTTATCCTTGGTTGTTTTGCTATTAGGTAGGCCTAGGCCTATTTGTTTTGTTTCTTTTGGGTACACTTCCATATCTGTTGGCACAAACAACCAAATGAGTAATATCGATCGATATATCGAATTAAACAATCGAATAATTAATATTACTCATTCGGTTGTTTGTGCCAAAGATATGAAACTGTACCCTTTCTTTTTAATAGGCCTAACTTATTATTTATTTTTGGTCAATTGTAAGTTAGTCCTAGACAGTAGTTTAGCCTAATTTCTTAAATAGGTATGAACAAAAACCGTACCAACCATAAATCAATTTGATGTTTAGCAACATACGTTGGAAAAAAAGAATTTTTTTAATCGAAAAATTGAATCGGATAAATATTGATATGCATTGTTAAGATTAAATGTATTTAACTTACTCATCAGATAAAATATTTGGCAATTATTTAGTATGTCTACATTGAGAAATGATGTAATTTTTAGATGTTTCCTTACAGTATTTTTCACGCTGATTCCAAAAATGCAATCCGTTTTTGTCGGAAAGATCCCTAAGTGGATGTAAAACGAAGGCTAAAATTACGAATGTAAGGTTCATTTCGCGGTTCGTATGGTAATATGGCGTGGTCTGGACGGGTTCGAATGTGGGCTGAGGACTGAGTGAGCAATGCAGAATTAAATCAATTTGTTTTGAAACTAAAAAATCAGCTCTTAGTTAGGCATGTGGGGAAGGTAGGTTGGATTTTATGTGAATTTGTGACTGTATTAAGTGTTTTGAAGTTAGGTTTGATTAGGAAGGTAAAGTTTGGGTTATAACGAACCGGCTCATTAATTTATGCTACCTCCAGACTGTCTTTGCACAATTGAAATAGTGGTTGAAATACAATGAAATAACAATATAAAAAATGCTTGCAAATAAAACAAATTGAAATATTAATCTTGTTATTTTTACCTTAAATTCAATTTCCATAGGTAGGCCTACAGTACTTTATTTGTTTCTATATACAGGCTTCTATTCTTCTGGTAACATGGTTCTACAGGTTAAAATACTTAAATAATAACATTGTTATGCATTTTAAATAGTAGGCCTAACATTGTTTTGCATCTTCCCTTAAGAAGGAGTTCCAGATTACTTATAAAGAAAATTATTTTTATAAAATAAAAAAGAATATAAGATGTTTTAACATTAAAACCTAATGAACTAT